AGGGGGGAGGGTTTGTGTGGGGAGAAGGGTGCAACAATGAATGAATGGAATCCCAAAATCTCTGCAGATGTTCATTGAAATGAAAAATAAACAACTTAAATTAAAAAAAATAGAACAGCAAAATTGAATATCCCATATTCAGTATTGCACTGGGAAAGTCTGCAATTATGGACCTCTCTCAATTATTGAGGAGTAATGATGCCAGTTTGAGGACTAAGGTGCATTTGATTCACATCATCATCTTTCTGATCACTTGCTATGCATCTGAGAGCTGGACAATGAAAAAAGATGACAGAAGAAAGATTGATGCCTTTGAGCTGTGGTGTTGGAGAAGAGCACTGAACGTCCTATAGATTGTCAAAAGAATAAAGAAATATGTCTTGGAGAGGCTGCAGAGAGACGCCTCTTTGGAGAAAAGAATGATAAGGCTTTGCTTCACATACTTTGGGCATGTTGCCAGGCAGGGTTGTTCCTTGGAGAGGGACATGATGCTTAGGAGGGTAGAGGGTCAGTGAAGGAGAAGACCCTCAGCCAAGTGGATTGACATGGTGACTGCTACATTAGTGTCTCAGGAAGTATGAAGATGGCACAGGATAGGATGGGATTCAGGTATGTTGTTCATAGGGTTACTATGAGTCGTACTCAACAGCACCTAACAATAGACCTTCTAAATTAAGTCCCATTTGTGCCTCTTATGATCTTTACGATTTTAGGCTTTAACCCTAGGTCTCTTATCCACCTTGAGTTGATTTTTGCATATAGTATACTCCTCTAAATCTAAACATTCGGATTAAGACAGACTAGGAAGAAGGATTGGTCATCCACTTCTGCAATAGCAGGCCTCTGAAAACCCTATGTACAACAGAACACACGTAGACTAACAGAAAGGGCAACCTAGGTAGAACTTTCAAGTATGGAAATATTGATTCAGTGACTGGGGTAACCGGGATGAGTGTGTCAGAGGCAAAACGATTGACACAGGATAGAGCAGGGTTTAGGGCTATTGTACATAGGGTCGCTATGAGTCGCAAACGACTCGATGGCACATAACAGCAACAACATGAGATGGTGTGTATATGCTGTGAGATGAGCAAAGTATATGGTGTGATATGTACTCAACAGTACCTAACAACTACATATGTATATGGTGTGAGATGTACTCGATGACACCTAAAAACAACACCAACAACCAAAAGGACCGACAGATATATCTTAGAAAAAGTGCAACTCTTTGAAGGCAAGGATGGTAAGGTTTCATCTTACATACTTTGGGCATGTTGCTAAGAGAAGTTATTCCTTGGGACTAGGGACATCATGCATGGAAAGGTGGAGGATAAATGAAAGAGAAAACACTTAAAGAGATGGATTAATGCATTGCCTGTGATCAGGTGTGTCAGAGATTATGAGGACAGCAAAAGTACTCAGGCTTCAGATTTGTTGTTCATTGGGTCTAGATGAATTGTATTTGATATTGACAGTATCTAACAATGGAAGCAACAACAACAAATAACTCATGCCAAATATCCCACACAACCACCATTAGGGACTGGACAGTGACTTCTCATGCAGTTTAAACCATAATCAACCAAAACAAAAACAACAACAAAAAAATGAACTTACTTTCTTTACCTAAGAAATATTTCAGCCATTCCCAAAGTTCTGCATATGCTCCTTGTGGTTTGTTTTTTTCTTCTAATGTCCTTGCCTACAACTTGAAAAGCTCCTTGTATCCTCTCAGCTTAACTGAATTCTATCCAATTTTTAGGACATTAAATACTATATGTGCAATTTAAAGTATTCTCCAAAGATTATATTTGTTACTTTAGTGATTAGTTTAGTCTCTGAACCAAACAGCACCTACTTGCTGCTTATTATCCAACACTTATGGCTAAGAACCTAACTGCTTACTTTATTCACTTAGCAGAATTTTAGGACACAACTCATGTTGGACAACACATCAGTTCCTTTGATTGCAAGATTCCAAAGGGCTTATTTGGATATCAAAGCTATGATGAATACTCAAAGTAGATTTATTAAACAACTAAAATATTCAATCATTTACCCCTTAGAAAAATATAACAGAACTCTACTTCTGTATTTTAAAACACACTCCAAGAAAATGACATGCTTTGCGTCATCCATAGCAAATCTTTAATGTTATATTTAAATCTAATGCAAACTTTAACACAACATACATCTAATGTTGAGCTGTATTGAGGTAATTACTCTGGAACTATGGCCATGCTACATGGTAAGTTTCCTTATGTAAGAAGGATCTAAAAAGCTGGGAATGGGTCTTTACAAATAAACAGGCTGCTGCACCTCAAGAGATGAGAAACCCCTGGAGACAACTGGTCTTTATATTTCTAGGCGTAAAATAGTTGAACTGGGAATAAAAGCCACAGATTTAAGGTGCAGACTTATTTAAAATTGATTCTTGTTGTCTGTGGTTGCTAGACAGTTAAAGAAGAGAGATGGTTAATACATCTTTAATCATAAAGTGATAGGTTAGGAGAAAGAAGAAATATTCATCTGGAATCTTCAGGAGGGAGGAAGGTGAGTTTCAGAGTAATGTTCTTATTGTGTGTTTATTGAGACAGGTTCTGAAATTAGATCTGATCCCTGTTCTATCCTATGCCAACCTCACAATGTCTGACACACTTGAGCCCATTGCTGCAGTCACTGTGTCCATCAATCTGGTGGGGGGTCTTTTCCCCCTTCACTTTTCAGGAATTAGAACACTGTAAATGTATTTATGTAGACCTTTATAAGACACAAAGTATATTCACATCTATTGTCACATTTAATTTGCACAATATATATATATTTTTTAAATAGATTCCAATACAAAGATCAAAGAGAATCTTAGTGTCACAATCTAAGTGTTAGGACTGGGGTTGGAATTAACCTTTTGACTCCAGCTAGTACCCTTTCTACCAAATCTATACAAATGGTTTCATTTGAGAGACAATTGACATTTGACAACCAAGTTTGACTATATGTGTTATATAGAACATTGACAGTGATATCACGGACTGCCAAAATAAAAAATTAATCTGGTCTTGGAAGAAGGGTAACACAGGAACTTTTTAGAGACAAAGATGAGGATACTCCATCTCATATACTTTGGGACAATAAGTTTCAAGAGAGCATTTGAGAGATGGTTAATAAGATTTGATATGTGGATATGGTATAAATATAAAATACAACCTGGATTTCAAAGACATGCACAAAAACCCCTCAAAACCTTATAAATAATTCTTTTAAATTCTTTTCATGAGGGCTCTGCACAGTCTCTAGGTAAATGTAAAATTCTAAAGAGGACCCCCTATGTGCGGTTCAAAGACCCATGAAAAAACAGATATTGCAGAGGTAAGACCTTGGTTGTACCCAAGGTTAGGTGACTTTGTGATATATATATATATATATATATACCATCTTCATCACCCTCCTGAGGAAAAGTTTGAGTAGGAGACAGGAAATAGTTGTATATGAAATAAAATCTGTTTCAGATATTGACATTGTCAAAAGTGACAGTTATAGCGGTAGACTGCTTAGATTTTTCTTCTGAAGATCATTCAAATGGCCTTTGTGTGAGAGGACAACTTAGTCCAGAGGGTAGCCAGAGATTGAGAAGATAGGATCTATTTGGGAGGTCTGCCACTTTTTTGACAATCTAACTTTTCAGAAGAAGAATAAGATGACTAAACTCCCATTTAGACATCAACTGTTAGATTAAAAAAAAAAAAACAGAACAAACTCCCAAACAAAAACATGATTGTCTATATTATGTTCTGAGTCATACTAATGCTACAGTATGCTTGAAGTAAAAGGGGTTCCACTATCAAATAAATTGCTAGTGGCGTCGTGATAAGAAGCTGCACTGTAATCCTGAAAGCATTCAACTCTGATCCATCAGCTTCTCCAAGGGAGAAAGATGACTAGTCTCTTCCTGTGCAACTAAATGCCTCAGAAAACCCTCTGGAGGGTCAGTTAAGGGTCATTTCTGACTTGACAGCAAACAACAACAACATTCTAGAAGATTTTGAGATATCTTTCAGTTAAGAGAATTATTTATGCAGCTTAACATTGTTTACTTGACCATGTGGTGGTACCGGGCTATTCATTACATGAATGCTTATTAACAAGCCCTCTGGTTCCTGGAAGGAGGCAGAGCCTTAATGCAAAGGGAACAAGGAAACTTGGATTCCGTGTTTTTACAAAAGCTAGAAAAACCTTGCCTGTGGGATACTGAAGAAAAGCTAAGATTCTGCCTGTCTAATTTGACTATTTTTCCATCATCTTCACAGATTTCTCAGAAGAGAATGAGTATGAGAAATTATTCCACAGTGACTGAGTTTCTTCTTGCAGGATTAACTGACCAATCAGAGCTTCAGCTGCCCCTTTTCTGCTTGTTCTTGGGGATCTATTTGGTTACTGTGGTGGGAAATCTTGGCATGATCTCAATAATTGGGTTGAATTCTCAACTTCACACACCTATGTACTATTTTCTCAGTAGTTTGTCTTTTTTAGATGTCTGCTATTCTTCTGTCATTACTCCCAAAATGCTGGCAGGATTTTTATCCAGAGATAAAGCTATCTCCTACTCTGGATGCATGGCTCAGTTGTTTTTTTTCTGCATTTTTGTCATTTCAGAATGTTATATGTTGGCAGCAATGGCCTATGATCGTTATGCTGCCATCTGTAGCCCACTGCTCTATAACGTCATCATGTCCCCTCGGGTCTGCTCTCTGCTGGTGGCTGCTGTCTTCTCAATAGGTTTTACAGATGCTGTGATACATACAGGTTGTATATTAAGGTTGTCTTTCTGTGGCTCAAACATCATTAACCACTATTTCTGTGACATTGTCCCTCTTATTAAAATCTCCTGCTCCAACACTTACATTGATGAGCTTTTGATCTTTGTCATTGGTGGATTTAACATGGTGGCTACCAGCCTGACAATTATCATCTCATATGCTTTCATTGTCTCCAGCATTCTCCAAATCCACTCTGAAGAGGGTCGGTCCAAAGCGTTTAGTACCTGCAGTTCCCACCTGACAGCTGTTCTTATATTTTATGGGTCCCTTATGTCTATGTATCTCAAACCTGCTTCCAGCACTTCAGTCACTCAGGAAAAAGCATCTTCAGTGTTTTATACCACTGTTATTCCCATGTTGAATCCTCTGATCTATAGTTTGAGGAACAAGGAAGTGAAAAATGCAATGTTAAAGCTCATAAGAAGAAAAATATCATCATAATGCATATGTTCCTTATCAAGATTATTTATACTCTTATAATATTCATTTATGCATTTATAAAAATATATTTGTATGGATCAATTTCTATCCTGCCTCTTTAAAATAATTTGAAGTGAACTGTGTGCCTACGTGTATATGTTTGTTGCTGTTGAATCAATTGTGACTTCAATGACCTCTCTTACTTCAGATTAGAACTATGATCTAAAAAATATCTTCAGTAACTGTAATCTTGCAGAAGTTAACCTGGCCTTTCTTTAATGGAAGCACTTGTTGGATTCAAACCACCAATCTTTTCACTATACTCACTGCCACGAAGTGATCCGCTCTGTAGAGTTTTCAAGACTGTAAATCTTAGAGGGAGAAGACTGTTCTCTTTTCCTTTCAGGACAACTAGTGGACTAATATCACTAGAGATGCACAGCCTTTTTGTTAATTAGCAGTAAAATGCACTAAGAACTTAATCACAAGAATTCTCTTTTGGTTAATAGTAAAACACAGATAATTTGTAGAACTCAGGAACCTACTGTATATACAGACAATACCCTGGTTATGAACTTCTAACTTATAAGCATTTACTACTTGCATTTTAGACCATTTCTGTTATGGCAAATGAAGCTAGAAAAAATGAAGCGAGACTCACAATTTTGCCATCTGACATATTTTTCAGGATATCTGGAATAGGAAAAATAATGAGTCAATTCCTGGAATCAGTCACTTGGGAAGGAAGTTAGTGAGTTTTCCAAGGAGCCTGATGTGTGAGATTGGATTCTTTAATGGGACTGTAGGGGTGTGACACACATTTAAGTAATCTAGATTCTTCAGGCAGTGTTGCACAGTATTTCAGAACTTTGTCATTGTTTTTCAGTGTTGCATAGTACTCCACTGTGTAAAAGTACTGACAGAAATTAATCTGTCAAAAAAGGACAAATACTGTATAAGGCCACTGCTGTAAAAAGCTAGAGGAAGGTTTAGATACAAGATAATTAATCTAAAGTAGTTACCATAGGGGAGAAAGAGGTGAATGATGAGTGTGCAAAATGATTTGATAGACAAAGATAAGACTTTAAATATCTAGATGAGGAGATCATATTCAGACAAACTTACCAAAATACCATTATTTTTTTCCAGCCTAACCAGTGTTACTAATTGAATTGTGGCCCCCAAGATATGTGCTATATATCCTATTTTAGGTAATCTCAGAAGAGAGAGGATTATTTTCAAGATTTAGAAGCTAATGTAAACTGTTTTACTGGGTTTGAGAGTTGTACAGTGTCTGTTATTCTTTCTTTCCCTCTCGTTTCCCCCCATTTATCTTGTATCACTTATACCATTGGACTCTGGAAGCAGATAACTTGTAGTTTAGATTTCATAGTTTCATTAATAAAGAGGAATTCTACCCTGGGATAAAATAAACCCAATTTTTTCACTTAAATTTGAGTTAGATGAATCAGAAGATGAGATTTTAAAATTTGGAATGGATTTAAGATTTTTGGATGATTGAATGGGGTAAATGTGTTTTGTATGTCGATAAGACATTCATTGGAGAGCCAAAGGGTAGAATGTTTTGGATTAAATTGTGTCCTTCCAAAACCTGGGTTATAAGTTCTGGCTTCCAGGTTTGTGTCTATAATGTCATTTGGGAATGGCTTCTATTTATTAACTCTGCTCTGGGCCTCAGGACCGCTGGTGGAGTTGTGCCTGCTTTGCAGATTATTAGGCTGTATCTCAAGTCGATTTATTTTGAGACAAGAAAGAGATTAAACAAAACAGTTAACAAGCATAGATGGAAGGAATGCTGACATGAGGCTGCATGGAGATCGCTAAGGAATCGGGAAATGGAAGTTGAAGAAACAAAAATTTCCCCTCAGAACTGAGAAAGAAAGCACCACATTTGGTGTATGAAATTTAGTTGTTAGGAAAATGAAAATTCAAATCACAATGAGATACTGGGAAAATAGACAATAATAAATGCTGGTGAAAATGTGCAACAATTTTTATGCATTCTGATGATATAACAGTATAGTTTGGTATATCTATCCATTATTGGATCTTGGAATTTATTCTTGAAAATTTATTCATGAGGAATAAGAACATATTGGCATATATTTTACACAAATGATCGATGTTTTATTCTCAATTGCAAAAAATTAAAAACTATCAAAATATAGTTCAACAGGGAAAAGACCAAAAATTGTGATATATCAATAAAACAGTCTAAAAAACAAGAAAAACTAAAACAAAACACAAACCCTAACAAACACAATAATCCCATTGTTTTTGTGTTGATTCCAATTCATGTGACTCATACATGTGGAACAGAATTGTAATCCAGAGAGTTTTCAATATTGTGACCTTTGGACATAGACCTTTCTTCTGAGGTTCTTTAGGTAGGTTTGAACAGCCTCCTTTTTGGATTAGTAGTTGACTGCTTAACTATTTGTATCACCAGTCTCCTAATGGAACCCTCTTAACACTGATCTTCCATTGGGTATCTGAGGTGGTGAATCACATTAGTTGAGGCTTCCCATCTTTCCCCCTTGGAGCCGCTAGTGAATCTGAACCACTAGAGAGCCTTTGCCTTTGGGTTAGCCACACATCTTTTTTTATGGACTACGCCATCAGACTAATCAGAAGTGAAAAAAAATCTATTGGCATACCCAACAAACAAACTTAAAACAGATTATGCTAAACAAAGTCATGCATATATTTATTAATCATACATATTTACTTTGACACAACTCAACTCATTGCCATCTAGTCATAATCAACTCATAGCTGTGCTCCAGCAAACTTTCAGAGGCTATAATTTGCACAAGAGGAAATTGCCTCTCTTTCTCCTACAGAACAGCTGGTGGATTTGATACTGTCTACCTTTGGATTGGCAGTGCAAATCCTTAGCAATTAGGCCACCAGAGGCCACCATCAGACATATTTATTTTTTTTAACTTTATATGACATTCTAAAAAAGAAATATGATCTATAACAACAGAATATAGCTCAGAAATTGCATGGATTCATAAAACAAACTAATCACTGGCAAAAGGTACAAACCAATCTTTTAGATGATGAGGATATTTTACATGTCTTTATTATGGTGATAGTTACGTGGGTCAGTATATTTTTAAGTAGTTAATTAAGTATTATACTGCTAATTGTACTTTTTTGGTTGATAACTTTAAAAAATAAATAACATGAAGCTTCAGATTCTTTTTAGACTGTTAACAGCAATTTGTAATGTCATTATTTTTGTGGTAACAACCAAAAAATAAAAGATATTTTATAAATATTTATTAATATTAAAGTCATTATTGTTGCTACTGTTTTTAACTACGTGCCATCAAGTCAACTATGACACATAGCGATCTTATGAACAATAGATCTGAGCTTTGCTCTAGCCTCCATCATCTTCCCAATCTTTTCCATGTTCATGCCCATTGATGCAGTCACTGTGCCAATCTATATCATTGAGGATAATCCTGTCTTTGGTTGACCATCTGCTTTTCCCACAGAGATTTTTTTTTTTAATGGACTGATTTTTCCTGAAAACATGCCTAACAATTTAGATGAAGTTTCACCATCCTTGTATTCAAGAAAACCTTGTTTCTCCAATACAGATTAGTTCTTTTGGCAGTGCATAAGATGTTTAGTGCTCTTTGCAAACACCACAATTCAAAGACACCAATTATACTTTCATCTTCCTTTTTCATTGTCCAACTTTCAGATGCATATGAAGTAATAGAAAATACCAAGGTTTGGGTCAAATACACCTTAGTCTTTAAACTGTCATGCTTTAGGACTTTAGAGAGGTCCTTGACAGCAAATTTTTCCAATGCAACATCTTTTGATTCCTTCACTGCTGCTACTATGGGCAAAGAGATAGAGATAGAAAATAAAAAGGGAAGAATATTCTTGGCATTCCTCCAGTTGAAAGAACTAAAAAAAAAATAACAAAACAAACCAACTAAGCTTTTTTTTAAAAATATTAGTTTATTTACAAAATTCAAATACATTGCTTTCTAGGCCAGATTCTTTCAAAATCAAGCTTTTAGTAATGATACTGAAGCATTCTTTGGAAACATCTTGAATTATACAGGTGAATCAAAAGTAGACGGAAGGAATACATAGAGCCACTGTACCAAACATGGATAGGCAATACTCAACCATCTCAGGAAGTACTATATGAAATAAAAACAATGATGATGAAGGAAGAAGCTGAATACACAGAGAAGGCATTGGCAAAAATAAAGTCTCAGGAATTGATGGAATACCAATTGACATGTTTCAGCAATGAGATGCAGCCTTAGACATGCTCATTAGTCTATGACAAGAAATTTGGAACTTTCTCAAGATTTGTCACTTTTACAGCATCCCTAACACACCAAACAAAGTGGGAAAAGATAATTAGACAGAAAGGCTGAAAATACTGAAATTTCTTAAAAAATTAAAAATTGATAAATATGTTAAAGAATAATTTTATTTTTGAAATAAATATTGCAGGAAAAAAACCCTTTGGTAAATCAATAAGTAAAAGGGGAAAAAACCAAACAAAAGTGGAAATGATAAATGTAACATGATAAAGGCATAGACTTAAAATACGTAAAATACCATGCACAATTATATAATAATTTGAAAAATATTAACGAAATGAGTCTTTCTAAAGGAGAAATTTCATATTGAGTAGAAGGAACTTAAGGATGACCAATTAGAATTACTTCCAAAAAGAATTTGAAACTAGTTCATATTACTATTGAGTTCTATAAAAAATGGTAAGAGCCAAAATTCTCAGATTATAGAAGCATTTGAGATGATGTTATTTAACTGGTAGTCCCTATATTGTTATAGTCCCCTCCACTTAAGATTATGAAGTTTTAAAACATATTATTATTCACCTGAACTACAGTGTGTAATTTGCTGGTGCTATCATTTGAGGTGCTCATTCTGACATATTCAATTTTTAAATTTGCTTTTCAAAACACTGCTGTATATACTTTGCTTCCCAA